TACCCGTTTTTGTCTGAAGTCTCCATCTTCAGTATCCTGGAACTAGGAGCAACAATCCTGATCTTGGGTGATAATTTCTGCAAATGAGCATGGGAGTAGAAAACAAAGTGAACACCTGACATAACTGAATTTTTTCACAGATCTAGGAACGGTTGCATAACAAACTGAAAAGAAAAATCTGTACCAAAACAAAAACACCAAACTAACTAGTCATATGAACTGACTAAACTGAAGAAATATACATATCAATACACCTACAGTAAAAACATCTGACAAAAACAGATCAAGGATTATACAAAAATGGATAAAATATTGTTAAGTAATGAACAAATACATATACAAATCCCTATTGTTAAATTCTGACAAAACCAAATAAAGATTATAGACAAACTATTCATAAAACTAAACTACAGATTCAGTTCATGGGATTCAAAATGAGACCTATAAAAAGAAGAAAACAAAACGAATACAAACACATACCCATGATTCCTTCAAGTCCCCAACCGTCAGACGACAAACATAGGGTGCACGAAACCATGGTTGTTGTACAACAAACAAGAAAGTTGGCCACAACGCTGAGTCTCGGTGAGCTCCAAACCAGATTCGTACACACAACCATTAGCTATGCGCGCCATCTTTGCCAGACATCCGCATAAACAATCCTCCATGGAAGACACAGGAATAGGGAAGAAAACAACATAGACAAGAGGGAGGAACCTAGATCTGATTCTAGAGGAAGGAAGAAAAGGGAGGGGGGACTGAGCCACACACCACTCATAGATGGATAGAATTTATAGCCAGGGAGACTCATAGATTATAAAATTAATAAATAGGTAGGTGGGCAGCCAGCTGGTAGGAAATAGTTATTATACAAGCCATGCAACATTTAACCGCAAATCAATTCAACTTTAGATAAACCAGCATTTCAAAAGTGCACATAACAAACATATGCAGATAAAAAAACACATTCAGAGGTAGACAGTTGAATTCATTTAGTCATTCAAACATCTGATCCTTCACAACACAATCTTAAAAACATAATATTCAGTACTTTAGTCATAACGATAAAAGAAACGACGCCATTTGGCCCTGGTGGATGGATGTGGAGCCGTGGCTGCTCTCGCCCTAGCCCAACTGATGATCTGAATATGGTTCCTTCCCCTGCCCTCTGGGAAAAGAAGCTCCAGTTCATTGGAGTTGCAAGTATCCATCACCTCGCATGCAATGCGTCTGTTGAACTCTTCCTCCACTTCCACCTCGGCAACACGTTGTGCCATCTTCCTGCGCCTACGCCTCCTCCTCCTCCTCCTCTGCTCCGCTACTGCAGCCCTAACATCGACAGAATCCCCCTCCTCCTCTGTGACCTCTCCTAGCTCAGGATCCATCTCGCTTTTCTTTGGTTGCAGCTGGTGGAATGAAACTGACAGCGGGCTCGGGCTTTATATTCAAAGTGCAGAGGTATGGGTAGGCAGCCAATAGAAAATACTTACTCCGATGTCAACGCACAGTAATACAACTTCGACATGGAGCAGTCCAACTACACATACATCAGTAATTCAAACAACACTGAAAAACATGCAACTTAATTACACAGTTTGACCGGATTACAAGAAATCGTGGGCTATAGTCAGCTGCCATACACCACCTTCTCCAACGACCAAATAACATGTGAATCCGGGGTAGAAACAACTCAAAGAAGCAAAATTGACAACACAAATCTTTTCATACAATCCTCATATCTCTCCCTACAACGCCAATTCGAAAGTAAAACAACAGAAAAACAAGAACACATTTGCATGGCGGACGTGGAAAACGACCAAGAACACCAAAACTTGTAATAGAAATTATAGGTGAAATTAATCTCCAAAAACTCTAACGCACCGATAATTCTCACATCCAAAAACAACAAACTGAACGTAAAATTGAGGCCTACGAACACCACGGTAAACACCAACGCCCAAAACACGTCTGCCGCCAAATGCCCACGTCGCCACCTCCGGTGACTTGAGATCGCAAACCACGACCAGGTGAGCGCGCGCACGTGCGTAACCCCTTACATGTCTTCTCTAGCAATGAATGGCACGCAACACCGCGCTGGAGAACGCCCGGAAGCTCCATGTTGCATCCCATGTTTCCGCCCATCGTACACGCAGGAAGATCAGTTCAAGTAGAAAACCACGTCAGTCCAACCTGTAAAGTACGTCAGTTCAAGTAGGGTAACAGAATAATATTCTGTTACACGAAGCAGAATAGCCCAGATGTATATACACACACACACATGTTATTCTACTGTAGACAGAGCAAATCACATGGCTTATTAGCAGCAATCGTTTGTGTTATTATTGGTCTTCGCACACATTTCTGATTACGGACCTGTTTGCCGCGTATCACACACATCTTGTTCAGTTGAACCGTTTCTATTGTGTTGCTAATCACACGAAGTTCATCCTAGTGAACTGTATGCTATATATCGCACATGCCTTCATCTGCCTGCCCATTTCTTTTGTTCATCCTCATCCCAAACAGTTAATTTAACTGAACCATATGCCCTGCATCGCACACGCAACTAAAATCTGAACCGTGTTTGATGCATCCATCATCGCAAACGTTTTGCACCTTTTTGATGGGTTTTTTACACCACCATTTGCGATTATGGCATCGCACACAGTTTCGTCGAAGGGTCTCTGATTGTAGTGTCGCATTTGGACCATCCCGCAGTAGTGCTTCCTGAAGGCACCGTCTTGGAGCCAACAGTTCGTCATGTGCGGCTTCATCTCTTCGTGGTGGCGTGCTCACTAGTGGAGCCCCTGGTTGCTCTTGTAGTGCTAGGGGCCGTGTTGCTGCTCTCAACGCCTTTGTATCCCGCCTTGGGTGTGTGCGTGTGTTGTGGTGGAGTGCGTGTGTACCAGGATGTTGTTGACTTTGCTTTATATATAAAGCGGGGCGAAAGCCTTTTTCGGTATTCATATAGAAGTTGTCTTCATATCTTGCTATGTGGCCATTTCGCGCATGGGCCATCCACCTTCTCCGTAGAAGTAGGAGAGTGCGAAAAGCATGTAAGTGGCAATCAGTTCTTCACGGACAACTAATTACTACCAGTACTTGATAGACACCTTTTTATTTTGAGCAATGACTATCATGGCTAACTTTATTAATGGTGATTAATAGTTACATCGTTTATTGACCAAGAATGAAAGTAGGGGGATCATCGTCCCACGTACAAGAAACTTTAGATAAAACTAAAATTTTCTAGCTCATGTGCCACCATGTTTACTTCCTTACTGCAAAGTTTATACTCTACCTTCTCGATTATTGTAGCTGTATCAAGGAAATAAACATGTAGTTCTTCACAGACAGCTGGTTACAACAGGGACCTACTTCATGATAGTGCGCGGATAACGAAACCCAACCTCCACGTGAGTAACAAAATTGCCTCCATGGAAACTACCTAGGTGAACCAACTGTTGGTGAATGCCATGTGATTGTCGAGTACTAATAATATAACATACTCATCGTAAGAAGGCGACATGCATTACTTATGCCAACGTCAAATCAAATCAAAGACCTAACATGAAAGTGGCATGAGACCACCAATTTGGTGAATGTTCTAGTAATAAATCAAGTGAAACTTATATGTGGTTCACATGGTTTCTCACATCAAGAGGGATTGAGGGACAATGCAATGCTTTTCTTTAAAATGCATTGAAATGGAACAGATCCCTCAACTCATGAATTCGGACCACTAAATGCTTATGTAAGAACTACATCGGTGAGATGAACTACACATGGAAAGAACGACTCCGTATGATCACACATCTAGTAACAAAGATTAGTAAATCTAGTTTATTTTGTTAGCTGTAGTCTTGATGTTTTTTGTGTCTGCATATTTATTTCATTTCTGCATGAGTTAGTGTCCTGCAGGGACAATGCATATTAGTAGATGTATGTGCGAAACATAGGATTGATGGCTTGGCTGAAAGGCATGTATCGAAGAGTTGCCAAGGAGCCGCATGATGCGGGCATCGTGATGTATCAAGCGCATTGCTGCATGTGAGCTAGGATATGCAGTGGCATGCATAGGCATTGAGTTAGCTAGGATGCTTTTTCACTGGACATAAAGCAAAGACATTTTATAGTTGTAATGACCACTAACACCACTAGCTTCAAGTATTTTTAAATGGCGATTAGTATTTAAGTTGTCATCATATTTGCTTTATGTCAAGTGAAATAGAGAGAAGAAAAGACGTTCGGCTGTGATGAAGCAGTACATCCGCAAATATCTTCTATCTCCATTGGTTTGTGTGTGTTGTGAGAATTAACCAAGAGAAACAAACTGAGTTGAGATAGTTAGCTCCAACATATTTGGCCAGAGTCTGAAGTGAAGAGGTATAATATAGAAGACACTCTGGCTTACCACACCCTTTTTTGAAAAAGAGGTTGAAACATTCAGCCTCTGGATCAATATGATGCATAGAACCATAAACTTACCACACATGTACAGCAGAAATTCTGCAAGTAGCCAGGCAAATCCATATTTAACAAATACTCTTAGGCTAAAAAAATTAGAAAGTATATAAATTACTTCTATAACCAATTAAACAACCACAACTAAAGTGAAAAAGAGATCAAGCACACAAATTAAAGCAAACTGAACATAGATTCATCATGTTCACATTCAAAAATGGTAGTTATGACATAAAAGTTGACAAAATATAAATACCATGGTTCATCAATCTACTAAATGGCTGCCACACAGAGACAATGAACTAGGGAAAGGGTCGATTACAAAAGAAACTCGGGATGCAACTCTTTTGCATCTAAGCTTGGACATAAGCATATGCTGGCCGAAGGTGACAATAGGGTGCTTCCCAATCTTCCATAGTCTTATTCCTGAAACCCGGAACAAAAAGTTCAATGTAATGAAAACATTATCAACCTTAGACTGAACATCCAAATTGGAAAGGCTTACCCGTTGTCCCGATATACAAGGTTTGAATCCCTCAGACAAAGTCTCCAAAGACGGGCATGTCATCGAACCTCCAAAGGTCCATGTTGCCAACGACATCTTGATGATCATAAAAATTCACTAGGCCATCAATCAGCTCATCCACATCATCATCCATAAGATATCTCATCCAAGATTCAGAACTGGCAGCATTATTCTCCATAACAGGAGGCACCAGTGAGTTGTAGGTGTTATTCTCAACAAGCGCAGATTCTGCTCCTTCGGCAATGGTACAAATGGATGATATATCTAGACTCTTGGTCTCATACTCCCAGCCCAAGTCAGAGCAGCCAAAAGAGTTGCTTCCCTGGTCAGAGTACATATCCATAATAGGAGCTTCAACAGGGGCGGCAAAGTTTATTGCAGGAACAAGTGGCTGGATTGATGCAAAGTCGACATATCCTGTTGGTTCCTCTGGAAAGTTAACCTTGGCCTTCTTACCATAGATTCGGCGTGCTTCGGCATCATAAGCTCTTGCGGCTTCTTTAGCACTGTTGAAAGTACCGAGCCAGACACAGACACCCTTGCTAGGATCTTTGATTTCAGCAGCCCACTTACCCAAGGGGCACTGACGAATACCCTTGAGTTGGTTCTTTCTCTTCCTTTTTGCTGACCTTTCTCCAGGACCATCAAAACCAGCAGTAGGCATGGTGCTTAAGTCATCTGCAATAGAAGATCAATGTCAATGCTAAGAGGGACCAACACAGATAAATTTCTTTCACACATAGTAAATAATTTTTTCATGAATTTAAATGAAAAATATAATAATCATAATGAACACCGAACCATGATGGCTCAGGTTCGGGTGAAAACATCATCAGTCACAAACAGAACAAATAAATAAAAATAATAATCACAACTTAATAAAAAAATCCAAGGTTCTCATAAACAGACCTCATGTTATAAATCTTTGACATCATTCTGCAATTATTAATCTACAAATTGCATTATAGACGATGCAGAATCAAGGATATTCTTTTTCAGTCTGATTCAATGATTAGTACAGTAATCATTTAGACTAATAAATGAACCAAGCCTAGAACAATCCTTGGTTGCTCAGCCACACCTACAACCATCTAACAAGGAAACAATTCAAGAGGCCAAGACCTCGGCGGAAATAAGCTACTAACCAAACACAACAGAGAAATGGAAAAGCCTAACCCTTCACCCAAATTACTCCATGATAGCACATCCAATATAAAATCTCTAAAAACAGGTGTAACACCGCCCAAACACAGCCTTCCAATAGCCACCCCTACAAAAAATTCTCATCCTACCCAACCAAACGACCAAACCATTTTTGAACCAATCACACAATCTCCTATTTCTACTACCTTCGCCCTAGTTTACTAGTCCCCCTTGCATTTTTGGTCATACTTTTTTACCATGATTTTAACCAATAAAATATAAGTTAAACGTAGCAAAAATAATATTAAAACTACACTCGAATAAGAATCCAACAATATATTTTTTATGACATGCATTAATATTAAACTAGTTAATTATGTGGTCAAACTTTGACCCAGAATATGATGGAGACAAATAAACCAAGATGGAGGTAATACATAGTCAAGCGCTAAAGGTGATGATACGTAGATTAAAAACTAGTCCAAGCGACCGAGGGCTATTACCTTCGGAGAGGGACCTCTTGATGGCGGCAAAGGGCTTGATCTCGACTTCCTCATAGTCATCATCCTTCTCGGCCACCCCACCACACCCGAGCTCGAAGTCATAGTCCCTGGAGTCGGCCAAGAACTTCTTGAAATCGGCCTCAAAGTCCTCCTCATCATAGTCCAGGCTGAGTCCCCTGCGCCCGCCGTGCCGCGTGAAGCGATGGCCCCCGCCACCTCCTCGCTGGGGCTTCTTCTTCTCGGGCCGCACCGTGACCTCCATCACCTTCCGCGTCATCGTGGGAACCTTGATGTCGGCGAGTAATGCTCTGCCAGACATGATGGTTGCTGATACCTCGTCGCAATCGTCGTCGGGGAAGGGGCCTCGTCGGAATTGGTAAATGTACAAAGATTTTTAATAAGCAAGGCAGCAGGTGTGGGTTGGTAGGTGGGGGTGAGGCCAGTCCCCTATATACAAGGTGGCCGTGTGATGGTGCAAGAGGGCATGTGGTGGGCCCACGCGTCAGCGAGGGGCCGTGCGGTGGGAGGAAGGCACGAGGCAGGTTCCGAAAGCGAGCATTTTGGGAATCTTGCGTGCTATTCCCTTGAGAGAACTGTTATTTCTTGCATTGTGCCTCGCGTATGAATAGATGGATGTATGTTTGACTTTATCTATTTGGAGGCAAGCCAACATTTATTAGCTTAAGATTGTTCTACCACACACATGTAGTACGATTGTGCCACTATTGTCATACACTCTCCGTCTGGGTTTATAGGATGGGTTCAATGTTTAACCAAAAATCGTCTCACAAATGATTGTGTATAATGCTAAGATTTTTGCAAATCACTCATGGCTTGTTGCGTCATTTATTCGCTCAAGATTGTACTACACGCCTATAGTATGACTGTACTATTACTGTTGCTCTCCCCTTTTGGGTCTATTGGACGGGTTCGTTCAACCGAACATTTAACCAAAAATATTATAATAAATGATTGTGTGTAATGCTAAGATCTTTGCAAATCACTCATAGTTATGTCATTTATTAGCTCAATATTGTACTACACACCTGTAGTATCAGTGTACTGTTGTTGTACTCTCTTCGTCTGGGTTTATTGGACAGGTTCATCCAACCAAACGTTTAACCAATATCTTCTCATAAATGATTGTATTTAATTTTAATATCCTTACAAATAACTCATAGCTAGTTACAACATTTATTAGCTCAAGATTATACTACGCGATGTAGTACAACTGTACTACTACCGTCGTACACTCTCAGTATTGGTTTATTGCATGGGTTCATCCAACCGAACATTGAACCAAAAAATCTTCTCATAAATGATTGTATGTATTGCTAGGATCTTCGCAAATCGCTCATAGCTAGTTACATCATTTATTAGCTCAAGATTATACTACACACCTGTAGTATGACTCTACTATTGTCGTAGTCTCTTCGCCTAAGTTTATTGGACAGGCTCATTAAATCAAACATTTAACTAAAAATTGCCTCATAAATGATTGTTTGTAATGCTAAAATCTTTGCAAATAACTCATAGCTAGTTATACCATTTACTAGCTCAAGATTATACTACACACCTGTAGTATGATTGTACTACTATTGTCATACATCTCCGTTCGGGTTCATCTAGTCGAATGTTTTACCAAAAATCTTGTCATATATGATTGTGTGTAAAGTTAAGATCTTTGCAAATCACTCGCTAGTTACACCATTAATTAGCTCAAGATTGTACAACACACAAGTAGTATGACTATTGTTTTCGTACTCACTTCATCCGGGTTTATTGGGCGGGTTCATCAAACCAAATGTTTAATCAAAATCATCTCATAAATGATTGTGCGTAACTCCAAGATTCTTGTAAGTCACTCATAGCTACTTACTTCGTTGTTCTCAAATAAAAATACAGTTACTCCATTAAGTTACTATCATGTAGTTTATGTGCAATTGTTAGCATTATTATGCGATAATTATATGAATTATAAGTTAGCATTGTAATTTTCTCATCACATTCTTGATCTAACCATGTATATGGAGATCCAACATTTGTTTTTAAAGAACATGACATCGACCTTGTATCTTGCTTAATATTCAACCAATATCCCCTTATAGATGACTCTATAACTCTATGATTAAATTATACATATCTACTTACCCCCATTGACTTACTATCAAGTACTAGTAAACTGCACATGCTTTGCACGTAATAACCAGTTGAGATGGAACTAAAAGATAGCAGAGGGTCCAATTTACGTAAAAGAAAATAATCATTTCTATTTTTAGACCCCTTGTTTCTCATCCATATATAGGTTTGGAAAATGTATCCTACTATACAACATAAGCAAAAGCTCAACTACAATATGCAACAACACAAGTGCTCACAGCTACAAGTCAAACATCAATAACTTATAACCAAATAGGTCATGGCAGAATCGCCCACCATATAATTATTGCTATTTGCGAGCTGAGTTTGTTTTCAGGGTTGATCTCACATATTGTTTATAGACAGCTATGTCACGTACAACTGTACATATAGATACATACACTTCTTTTACTAACATTTTTCAAATCCACAACTAAAGAGGGTAGCTCATGCCAAAATGAAGCTGGCACCTAATAGTAATGTTGCCTGAAGCATGGATGCTTAGAGCTCACCAGAAGCCTTCATTTCAAGTTCATGATCCATAAAGGCATAAGATTCCAATTGACCCTGCCAACATGAGAGTGTATCAAGTTAAGTATTGAGACAAAAAAATGTGCGAAGAGGCATTCAATGACAAGATAAAAACAACACCTTCTATATGGTATAAAACCAGTCTGCAATGTCGAACATGGTTTTGTGCAATCTAAGGCTAGCATAATCAAAAAACGTAAATGACCAAATTCCAGCTTAGCAAATCAAATTCATGGTTTGCACATAAAAAATGTTCGGTGTATTATACATGAAACAAGGATCCTAATCTAGTTGATGATCTTCTGGACACAAACTTAGAACTACAGCAAACAAAAAAGTTGACAATAGTAGCACAATACTCCATTCGTGCTCTCTCTGAACAGAAAACATTATGTATTCATATATCTGTAGAACATATTAGAATATAAGGCCTATGTTATTCATGATTCTAATATATGCGCATATTTATAAAAAAATCTCAACAATTATCAACGTACCAATATTATGAGACAAAGTAAAGCATGCTCATATATATGAAACAAAGACAGTTATGCATTATATACATTTATCGTGCCAAAACCTCCTTATAGACAATATTTTTGGTACTTTTTCCTGATGGGTCGACATCCCTGTTTGGCTTGGCAAGCTTGTTGTTTGCCTTGATATTCCTCGGGACAATGCAACATATAGTTGACCGTGAGAGAACACAGGTTCTGGAAGGTAGATACCAACATGCGGAATTGTTTGACCTTGAGCTTTATTGATTGTCATTGCAAAGCTAACACGAATTGGAAATTGCTTACTCTTGAACTTGAAGGGAAGCACATCATCTCAGAAGGATACAAAGGTATTCTTGGAAGGAATACTCGCTTTCCAGCATGTTGTCCTCCAATAATTTCAGCATCGATAGCATTATCTTGAAATGCCTTAATAATAAGCCTTGTTCCATTGCATAATCCATTATGAGGATCTAAATTCTGAAGCAAGATCACAGGGCAATTTATTTTCAACCTGAGAACATGTGGAGGTAGGCCATTAGGTGTGAGAGAATTCAGGAATTCAGGTGGGTAGTGATTGTGAGTATCATGCACTGCTGAATCAAAACTATAGTAGACCTTTTCTTCTCCAGGAAATCGGTCTATAAGCTTCACATTTAATTCATCCACGTATTCATTTTTGGTGGAAAGAATGGCACGAGAACTTATATAAGACGGTAATCTTCCATTCTTGTCAAGTGAAGGAAATACTTCGTTTAGCAACTTACTAACCGAGGTCTCTGAATGTGTGTAACCTACAACCATCTCTTCAGGTAAATGCACATAGTCTTCACCAATTGATTCTTCAACGCCATTGCCAACTCTCAAGAGAAAATCAGAGAACCATAGATCTGTTTGTGCTCTCATATTGTGCCAGAGTTTTATTTGTCTTATATCCTCCCGCAGATAAGATTTTCTGAGAGTGGCATTAACAATTTGGGCTCTAGTGCCACGCCTAACTACTGGAAGGACTTGTCGGAAATCTCCTCCGAACACAATTACTTTACCTCCAAATTGTGATCTACAACCAGTAATATCTTGCAGGGATCTATCAAGTGCCTCAACTGCTTGCCATTTTTTCATGGCAACTTCATCCCAAATTATCAAAGATGCTCTTCGAAGTAATTCAGTTGTCCCACTCTGCTTACTGAAGTTGCACACAGTATCTTCTTGAACATTTATTGGTATTTTAAATCTGGAATGGGCCGTCCGACCACCAGGCATGACAGAAGCTGCAATGCCAGATGTTGCTGTTGGAATGGCTATCAAACCCATTGATCTTACTTTTGCCAATAAAGCATTATAAAGGTACGTCTTTCCTGTATCTCCTGGACCATCGATGAAGAAGACCTTACCCTTCTGGTTCAAGACGTGGTCCATTATTTCATCTAAAGCAAGCTGTTGTTCATTGTTTAAAGTTGCCTGCAGCTCCAGGTCTTCTTTAGCAACTTCAATAGACATTTCTTCACTCAATTATCTCGCCTCTAAGCTGTCCAGATCATCAGCATCCAATAGATCTGGAAGATCAAAGGTCTTGATGTCCTTTCCCATGGAATATAACAAATATCGAATATCTCCAAGCACGGATTTCTCGATTGCTTCATCACTTATGTTCTCCCTACGAAAATCGCCAGGCATTGCTTCAAAGTGATTGTTCCATAATGCACGAACATTTGTAACTTCGAAAAATGCCAAAATTGTAGCAAAAAGCCTTCTAAGTGCATAGGGCATTTGAAATGTGGCAGCTTCGATGAGACAGTCAGAAATACTATCATCTGCTTCTATGAGACCCCTTCTCTCTGCAGCTTCTCTAAATGTGGAGAAAACAACACCATCAACAGTACGTAAATCATGAAAAGATGTAGCCCCCCTCACATGGTTTAGCAATATTCTCAACTAATAGCGTTCACCTTCTGCAGGGTGAGCAACCACAAGTCGACCTATTTGAATTCTCTTGGTACGTCGTCTCCATGTCTTGTGGTTCCTCTGCCATGTATAAAATTCAGGGAATTCCTTATATGGGAAATTTCTAGCATAAGGATCGATAGAGTTCATTGTAAAATACTCGGTAAGCATTGTCCTGGAAGATGATTCTATACTAATTACATTTTCC